TAAGATGAATTGTTTTTTGTTGTTTGAGGAATTTTGATATTGGTGAGGTTTTTTGTTCGGTCTCTAGGGAGGAGTTGAATATAGGGTTCGTGAGGTGCTGTGGTCTATCTGCTTCTATAATTGGGCTTGACCAGAACTCAATTGCAGTTTTCCTGGATTCAACCTTGGTGTTCTTTAGGAGTGGTTGGAGCCTGTTCCGGCTCCATTTATGGTTAAGTGATTCTTTTCCAGATTTATTAATTAATATTTATTTATTTTTATTTATTTTTATTTTTAATTATATAAATATAAATTTTGAAAAATTAATAAAATTATATGTATTATATTATATTATATTTTATTATTTTATTTATTTTATAAAAAAGTTTTTTTTTATTAATTATAAAAAATGTTTTGTTTTTAATATTTTATAATATTAAATATTATACTTATTTATATTAATTTATAGTAAATTTAAATATTTGATTAATATCAAATTAATATCAAATTAATATTACAGTAATATTATTAAAAGTTTTATTTGAAATTTTTTTATTTGAATTTTTATAAAATCAAAATATTACAATTTAAAATTATAACATGTTATATAATATATAAAAATAAATTTTAAAATAATAAATATTAATAAATTTATATTAAATAATCTTATGTTATTATCAAATAAATTAAAACAAACCAAATTTATAACAAATAATATCAAGCAATTATAAAATTAAAAAGTAAATATATTGTATATATAATATATAATACATATTATTTTTATTTATTTGATTTTATTTACAATATATTTTATTTATTAATAATATGAATAGATTATTTTTTTTAATATTAGAATTATATAATTAAAAAAATATTTTATTAAAAATTTAAATTAATTGAATTCATAAATATAAAAATGTCTTATTGTTTTTAACAATTGAATTAAAAACAAGACTTAAAAAAAAGATTGAAATATTGAAATAAGATAATTTTTTTAATTGTTTATAATAAAATAAAAAGATAATAATTTATTTTGTAATTATAATTATATTATAAATAAAATAAATCATAAATCTAATAATTTTGTTTTATCAATATTTTATATTTAAATAATAATATTATAAACTTTATTTACTTTTAATTATATTGTATATACAGTATATAAATTCGTTTAATGAACTTATATAAGTTCCGAACCAAAAACTGAGTCAAATTAAACCAAACCATTTAATTTTAACTTTTTTAAAACCAATTTTAAACCAGAACTAACTCTAATCAAACTAGATTGATAATTGATCTTAGTAATAAGGTTGAGACTGGACCGAGTATGATCATGATTTTTATATTAACAAAAGGTTTATCGTAGTAACAGTTAGTAAAGAAAAACCAGTTTTCTTAAACTGCTAACTATTATTTATTTTTGTTTAAAAAATCTAAATATTTCCCAGAAATTTAATTTTCCTAGTATAGACTAAAAAAAAAAGAATTGTTATTATTATGTCTAAAATATGAAAATAACATTCATTGTAAATTTTTAACATACCTGATTTGATAAGGTTTCCAGTTTTTCTTTTGCATCTTTATAATCGCCTTTTTGAATAACTTCGCGATATAGGTCGGCAGCGTTTTCCAAATTACGTGTAACACCTACTCCATATTGATAACAATATCCTAACCAATACATTGCAGGAATGTATCCAACTGTAGCAGAACTTCTTAACAAGTGGAATGCATGTTTTGGATCTCTTTCTGCTCCACCAATACCATAATAATAAAACTCGCTCAATAAACATTTATCAGCCAAGAATCCACCTTCAACTGATATTTTATAGAGTTCAAATGACTTTTCAAGATTTTTTTCAACTCCAACACCCTTAAAATAACAAGTAGCCAATTCAGAGACCGCAAACACAACACCCTTTGAGCATGCTCTTTCAAGACTTTCCAAATACTTCTCATCATCTTTTTCTATTCCAAACCCATGAAAATATGATAAGGCTATGAATAGATCCTTTTGTTCATGTTGCATTGCTTGTAATGAATTAAAAATTATTGGTGCATCATTTTCATGATCTTTTAAAAACCTTCGAAACGCTTCGTTTGTTTTTAATGAACATGTAAGTTTGTGTTCAATTATTAACTTTCCAAATTCTATGGCTAAATCGAATTTGTTTGAATCCAAGTTTGAAGTAGAATCAACACTGGAAATAGAATCGGTAGAATATGAATGATGTCTACGATCCGATGTTATGATGATTTGGGGAATTTGGAGATTTTCTTTTTGTTTTGGAGAGTCAAAGTTTGAAATGGAATTGGTAGGATATGAATGTGTAAGATTGGGTATTATGGAGCTTTGGGGATTTTCTTTTAATTCTGGAAGGTCATATGGATATTCGCAACTTAGTTCTATCAGTTCTTGAAGATTTTCCAACACCTTCTTTATTTCAATCAGCTGAGGCCGCTTTTCTGGATCCGAGTCCCAAGACCTTTGATAGATATTAATGTATTCGGAGGGTGTTTTTTGAGGCAAATCTTTTTCTCTTAATCCTTTGGGTATTTCTTGAATAAGGGTATATGGATTAGAATCTTCAAAAGGCTTGCGTCCAGTAGAAATTAACCACATGATTACACCAAAACTATAGATATCCGATTTAAAATTTCTTTTAAATTTTTGTCGCGAGATAAAACACTGAGGCTCGATAAATGCAATCTTTCCAAAAATCTTTGAGTTGGATAACGAATCTTCACGAAAAATTTTAGAGCATCCAAAATCGGCTATCTTCAATACACCATTGTCGACGAGGATGTTTTTGGGACACTATAAATGTTTAAAGAACTTTAATATGTGTTACGTAATATATAGTATATAAGAAGATAAAGTAAAAATAAATACCAAATCACGGTGTATTATTTTAAACTTATGTAGGTGTTCGAGTCCGTTTGCTACATCAAGTGCAAATTTGATTTTTTTTCTCCAAATTAAATTTATCCAATTTTTTTTAAGATAACTTTGCAGGTTTCCTTCATTTGCGTAATTCAAGACTATTATTGTGTTTTTAGTTTTTGGATCTATAAATATTGCAAATAAATTAAATTTGTATAATAAAAAAATCGAAGTTTAAAATTTTTAAATAATAAAACCTTTAGTAATTCCAAGGAGTGAATTGATATTAGGATGAGGACAAACTTCTTTAAGATGTTTTATCTTCATTAATTGAAAAAACTTAAAGTTAGAATTATTTTTCTCAACAATCCATTAACATTTACATTGAAAGAACATTATTGATATTCACCTCATTAAGTAAATCTGCTTCATTTCCATCTTCATTCAATTTTTTCAAAACAACTGTTTCTTCTAAAAGAATAGCTTTACAAATAATTCCAAACCCGCCTCTATCTATTTCCTCGATGGTACTGAAATTATTAAAATTGTAAAATATTGTCTCTTTTTTTTTGCTGACGAACATTGTCTCCGTATGCATTTCACGATCGACTTCAAATATAAGTTTTTTTGTGCTGCACAGTATCTTCTTGTCTCCAATTTTGTCATACAAAGCTCTTTGATAAAATAAATCAGGAAACAAGTGTGCTACGGTAATTTAAATTTTCTTCTATGACATCAAGGAAATTCCGCTCATGTTAAAAAACTTACCTAATGTGATTCAAAAAAGGTATTTCAATTTTATTTGTTGTATAAAAGACATTCATTGTTATTTTTAGTATAACGTTTGTTTCGAAATACCTCATTGCACAGCTTTTTATGTTTATCACTTTTTACTTCGAATGAAGTTATTTTAATTTTTGATAATTAGTAAATTTATTAAATTTTCATTCATTGATTTTTTTTTTTCAATTATTCTCACTCGAATCTATATTTATGATAGTACATTTACATGAAGAAACGATTTCTAAATTTTCTAATTTACAGAATTCCTATCCGTACCATTATCTCTTCTCGATCCTTCACCTAACCATTCCTAACAGCTCCATTTATCTGTTTATTTAGTATAGTTCTTTCTTTTAGTGAAGAAAATCAGAGAATCGGGGTTTCTATCTTCTCTTTTGTTTTTCAACGTTAATAGTATAATGATCTGGTGCAATAACTCTCATATATCTGTCATCATATATTTCAGTGCGCAGTGATCTCATTCCTTAATATGGTTCATGCATTGTATTATGGATCATTTCCATTATATTTTCCATTGATGACCCACGCAGATGGTGCAACGTATCAGAGCTATTTATACTTTCCCACGCACAAGTGTAGTGCATTGGACTGTTGTCCAGGTTACAGTGCGGGTCTATCCGGTACAAAATCGTCTGATTCGGCCAGTGATTTGCCGATTCTGCCGATTCTATTTATACTGTATTATGCTAAATGTTATAAGCATTATATTATTTAAGTGGAATAGTATTAATTCGATTTGGTTTAATATGGTTGAATAATCTCCCGGTTTAAGGAATGAATGGTTAAACTATGGTTTATTTACTGTGAATTAATAAATAATAAACTATTTGTTATATTCTATTTTATTATTGGTATTATTTTCGTCTATCACATCAATATTTTTATCTATTTTTTCTACTATCCAACTTTTAAACATAACAATGCACAAGTGGTTTCAGAATCTAATTGGTTATATATTTTTTAAATTATAAATTTAACAATTGATGAATTATAAAATAATTTCTTGCCATAGTTGATTAAGATTGAAAATTGTATTCAATAAATTTTTTATTATTTTAAAAATTTATATTCTTTATCTATAGATAAAATAAGATATCTTTTTAATTTATTGTTAATATTAAATTGAATAGTTAATTAAAATTGATTAGCAAGACTTCTTAAATAAACATATTAGCTTGTATTTGAATTTTTTAGAAATTTTTAATATCTTATAAATAAAGTTTCATTATATTTTTATATCAATTTCAGATATTAATATAAAAGATTTTATAATTAAAAATAGTTGTTTAAAAATTTTTTATTAATAAACTAAATTTTTTTGCTTTTTTTTTTTTATAAATTTTATAATTCTTTTAATTGTTTAAGTATAAATTTAAAGTTTATATTAAATAGTTAAATTAAGTATATTTGTTTTATAATAAAGATAAGAAAATTATAAGTTATTAAAATTTGTTTTTACTTTGTTATATATTTTATGTTCATATATAATCATAATAAAATAATTATCAGTTATTAGAAATATGACTTTAATAAAAAATATATACTTATTAATAAAATTATTATAATTTTTTGTTATATTCATATTAAAATATAATTCATAAAAAGGAATAAAGAGTTATACGTTTTTCAATCTTGATTTATTTCATAATAATTATTTTCTAAAGTCTACAGATGTAACAATTTTAAAGATCTTAATTTAAATTCTCTTGTTAAATTTGAAATTATTTTATAATGTGATTTAATAGAACATTAACGTGATATTTAATAGTATAAATTAAATTTTTCATTATTTTGATAAAAAAATCTTTTTCAATTACCGAAAATAATTATAGACTTAATGTCTTTTTTCGATTTCTGCAAATTGCCTCACAGATTGATCGAACAACAAATATTCAAATAAATATTTATGGATAAATCGATATCTGTCACCGTTGCGACTTAAAGGAGAGTTATAACGCAAAAGACGTGTCATTTACCACTATTTCATTAACCGTAACTATTTTGACTGCTAAATCTTTGTTAAATAGTATGCAATGTCGTGTAAAATCATTTTCGTTCAATTTATACCTTGCGTGCAATCTCTGGTTTTTCGACATATTTCTAATATGCTCTCGAATTTTCTCTTTAGGAAAAAGGTGCTAGCCATATTTCTTGAAAAAGCACAGGGTTATGATTAGGAGTAAGCTTTTGTTGATATTTCCTACTTAAATATTCTGGTCGGCAACTAATAATAACCACTAGCGGAGTTTATTTTTATCATAAAATTAATTTCACTTAAATATGCTTTTTTAATTTTTCCTAATTGTGCCAGCGGTTCTGTGACATTTGACTCTAAATTCTGTGACAATTTAAGGTTAATTAAAAATTCAGAATATGCATAAAACTTTCTAACAGAGTATATTATACGTGTCATGTGTATGGTAATTTTTTAAATCTTCATTGTCTTGGTTCGTTAACTGTCATAAGATTTCTAATACCCATTCTTTAACTTTGGAATTTCGGCCCCACTGAGTTTCATTTTGATAAAGATCACCTAAAAACCCAACCGGCCCTTGTTATACTGTATATTTAAATCCCGTTGTGCATAGGAAATCTGTCCTAAGCGTTGACATAAGCCTATTAAAAAACATTTGTTCTTATTATAAGGGTTCTGACGAACAAACTGCACAAATTTTATTAATTGATTTTCTTGGATAAAGATATCTATAAATCGCAGAGCTATATATCTATTCAAACCCCATTCCTTGACGGATGTCTTCTACCCCTTCTTTTCAATTTTGACCAATCTCGACTAACTCGCGAACGTGACTTACGATCTAGAAATTTAAATTTCTGATTGCATTAACTAAATTAATGGTTCCACTAGAAAAATTTAAGTTCGACGTATAACTTCTTGCCATAATTTTTCGTCATTTGGGATATGTAACAATACCTGATAGGCGTAATGAGCATAGTAAGTTAATGTTGGATTATCTTTTAGCTCTTTAAGCCGTTGATACAATGAACAATGGACATATAGTCTGCAATAACTCGCAGAGTTGTACCTCATTATCTTATGCTGATCCTTTAGGTGATTATTTAAGAATTTTAATAAGGCCATTAAATATATGGTATTAACCTCACCAGTAATCAGAAGCGAATTGGGTATGTTTTGAACCACTTGAGTTAGGCAAAACAGATATTCCGAGTGCTGTAATGTTGTGCTGTTAATAGCCTGAATACTATGCTCGAATTTTTCTTCTTAATTTTTTTATTAGGTATAAATACCAACATAATGATTTTATGAAAAAACTTTATACAGTGATAGCATCGCTTGATTCAAAATTTTAAAGTAATATTGTATATCAATGCAAAAAAAACTTTTTTTATTTAAGAAAAAGAAAAGGAATTATAATATAAATTTAAATCAATTTCCTTGTCTTATTCAAAAATTTTTTTAAATTTAAAGAAAAATAATATAGATTTTATTAAAAAAATATTTATTTTTTTATTTTTAGACAATAATAAGAGTTAATAAAAATCTTTTAAAAACTTAAAGAAGTAAGATTTAATTTTGAATATATATATTTTTTATTTTGAACATTATTTTTTATATTAATTTTTTATATTAAAAAGTAAAAACTTCATGTTTACAAAATAATTTCCAAAAATTTTATCAAGATATTTTATAAAAAAAACTTAAAAAAAATTTTTTTTTTTTTACATTATAAATTATAGACAGCTATTTACAAATTTATATACAACAAATAACAAATACTATTTTAATTATTCCGATTTTTTATTAGAATCAAAATTCTTATATTAAAATATATACGTACATGTAAATGTATTATTTATAAATTCTTATGATATACTGTATAAATGATTCTTGAATTGCATTATAAACAATATAACAAAAAAACAATTATATACAGTTAATGATATTGTACGAAGATTAGCTTCTGTATAATAAACAAATAAATCATAAATTTATTATTTATTTACTGTATTTATTTGTTTGTTAAAATAAAGCATTTATTACGTACTCAACAGACAGAATAATCACGTGACCAGAATTTACAGTAGGTCGACGCTTCGAGCAACCAATAAATTATTAAATTTATTAACAATTAATTTAATAACCTTATAATTACATGAATACTAGAAATCGTCAATTATTATTAAACAAATGGTTTTTTTAATAAAAAAATTTTTTATTTAAAAAAAAAAACAATTTAATCCACATGTTAAATACACAATTGCTTTGGATTTATCATTTAATTGATCATTTAGTTTGATAAATTTTTACTTATTTAAAAATACCAATTATTGTTATTATTAAAATTTAAATAAGGCAAGATGATTTAATATTGAAAAACTTCAAGCATTAAATTATTTGAATTTTTTTAAAAAATAAAAGCTATCGAAGATAATACAGTATATTAATCGAATTACGACTACAAATTTTAAATTTTATTATTATTGTAATTTAAATGCAACCTCAGATCAGCGCTCACTGTGTTCTTGAAGTGCAACCAAATAAACATTAAAAGCTATAGCGAACAATTTCAACATAATCTTTCTTGTCTTCCAGTTTGCTGAGTGTAATAACAAAAAACAATAACAATAATATTACGTATCACAGTAGTCACTGTCACGTTCTGATCTACTTCTAACAATTATTTACAAAATTTCGTATCATAAATATGGTAAATACTGTATTTGAGTTTTTTATTTATTTGTTAGAAAAGGATCTACTATAATAACTACAAATGGAAATTTTTTGTTTTAACAAGCCTGCTTTTAGTTAAAACTGCTTGAAACGATTATTTATTTGTTAATCTAAAAAACCTAAAGATTTCTTCGAAATAGAATTTCCCTAGTATAGACTAAAAAGAAGAATAGAAGAATCGTTATTATAAAGTCTAAAATATACAAGTAAAATCAACATTATAAATTATCAACATACTTGATTTGATAAGGTCTCCAGTTTTTTTCTTGTATCTTTATAATCACCATTTTGAATAACTTCGCGATATAGGTCGGCAGCTTTTTCTAAATTCTGTCTAACACCTATTCCGCATTGGTAACAATGTCCTAACCAATACATTGCAGGAATGTAGCTAACTGTAGCAGAGCTTTTTAACAAGGCGAATGCAAGTTCCAGATCTCTTTCCGCCCCACCAATTCCATTAAAATAAAATTCACTCAATGAACATTTGTCAACCATGGAACCACGCCCTACACATATTTTGTAAAGCTCGAACGCTTTTTCAATATTTTTTTTGACTCCAATACCTTTATAATAACAAGCAGCTAATTCTGAGATTGCAAATAAAACTCCTTTTGCGTATGCGTTCTCGAGGTTCTCCAAATAATTTCTATCATTTTTTTCTACTCCAAATCCGTGAAAATATGATAAAGCTATAAACAGTTCCTTTTGTTCGTGCTGCATCACTTGTAACGCATTGAAAATTTTTGGTGCTTCACTTTCATAATCTTTCAAGAACTTTTGAAATGCATCATCTGTTTTCCGTGAGCTTGTGAGTTTGTGCTCAATAATTAACTCTCCAAATTCTATGGCCAAATCGAATTCTGTTGAAGTAGAACTAGCATTCAAAATAGAATTAGATGTTGTGACAATTTGGGGATTCACTCTTGGTTCTGGAGAGTCACATGAATAATCGAGGTTCGAAGTAGAACTAACGTTCGAGATAGAATCAGTAGAATATGAATAATGTGTGTGATTAGGTGTTATTGTGATTTTGGGTATTTGGAGTATTTGGAGGTTTTCTTTTGGTTCTATGGAATCATATGGATATTCACAACATCGTTCTATTTGTTTTTGAAGATTTTCCAACTCTTCCTTTATTTCTATCAGTTGAGGTCGCTTTTCTGGATCCGAATCCCAAGATTTTTTATATATTGCAATGTATTCAGGAGGTGTTTTTTGAGATAAATCTTGTTCTCTTAATCCTTTTGGTATGTCTTGAATAAGGGTACAATGATCAACACCCTCGAAAGGTTGGCGTCCGGTAGAAATAAACCACATGATCATGCCAAGACCATAGATATCCGATTTATAATTTCTCTTGAATTTTTTGCGCGAGCTGATGAAGCATTGAGGATCAATAAATGCAATTATTCCACAAGGATTTGAGTTGGATAACGAATTTTCACAAAAAATCTTTGAACATCCTAAATCGGCTATCTTCAATACACCATTGTCAACGAGAATGTTTTTAGGATGCTGCACACGTTAAAAAAAAGAAAAAGAAAATTATAGGTGTGTTGCATAACATAAAGGAAGATAAAGAATAAAATAAGTACCAAATCACGATGTATTATTTTAAACTTATGGAGATGTTCAATCCCGCTTGCTATATCAAGTGCGAATTTGATTTTCTTTCTCCAAGTCAATTTTACCCAATTTTTTCTAAGATAACTTTGTAGATTTCCTTCATTTGCGTAATTCAAGACCATTATTGCATTTTTAGTTTTTGGATCTATAGATATTACAAATAAATTAAATTTATATAATAATAATGTAGAAGTTTAAAATTTTAAACAATAAAAACCTTCAGTAATCCCAAAGAGTGAATTGATATTCGGATGAAGATTAACTTTTTTAAGAAGTTTTATCTTCATTAAATTGAAAACTTAAATTTAGAATTTTCTTTCTTAATATTAATAATTCATTGAAAGACACATTTATATTTACCTCATTGTATAAATCTTCCTCATTCACATCTTCTTTTAATTTCTTCAAAACAACAATATTTTTGAAATGAGTGGCTTTATATATAATCCCAAATCCTCCTGTATCCATAATCTCGATGTCACTGAAGTTATCAAAATTGAAAAATTCAATGTCTTTGATCATCATCGTCTTCTTCTTCCATATTCTTTTTGAAAAATTTTTTGAATGAAAAAATACACCTAGATTTTCATGGAGGTATTATATCTTTCTTGGCTTGTAATTTGTGCTCAATGAAATTAATGAAACAAGGTGCAACATTTTGCGGATTTCATTGTCCTAAAGTCGGAATTTACTCCCATCAAATAAAAAAAAAAGGGTTATGACTGTCGGATTCACAAAAAAACAATGTTTGTTTCGCATTCTCAATTTGGTTCTAACTATGTTTAACTTTGTTACCTTTTAATAGATAAAAACCAGATATATTGTAATAAAGGTTTCACAAGAAATCCATTGTCGGATTGATATTGCACACATAAAATTATAAGGTGATCATATTGACGCGTTTTGGTGACGTGAAATAGTGTATGTATGCCATAGTATGTCGTGAATTATAATATATGACTAGTTTGGCAGAAACTAGTTTGACCGCTCTCGTTTGACCAAATTAAGTTCCAAAGTAAAAAAAGATAATTATTAGTAAAAAAGGGTACTTTTTACAAGGAATTACTATTTACCGAAAATTACAGTACTTTCAACTGCCGGTTAAAAAATTTCCGTCTTTTTAAGAAAAGAAATATTTAAATATATCAACCTTATGCCTTTTCAATAAGGATATGTTTAAAACATTTGTTTAAAAAATTGAATCTAAAAACAATTTGTTATACTGTACATATACAAATGTAATTTAAAAAAATAATTAAAAATCATAACTTGACGTTCAATAAAAGCATATATTAAGAATATTATTTATAATACTCGAATTTTTTTTAAAATAAAAATACATGATTAAATACCAGTTTAATAATAAAAATTGTTGTTGTTCTTTTAGTTATAGATCCATATCAAACATTAGACTTTATTAAATTTTATAATTAAAATATTATATAATGCGTTGCAATACTTTTTTTTTGGGAGGGTTTCCCCAGTAGGTAAACATCATTTCTTTATTTGATATTGTATATAACAAGGTATACATCATGAAAGAAACAACATCTCTTGG